TTGTTGTAGCTAAAATTATTATAGTAGAAAGAAATAATAAATATTTGAAAAATTTATCAATATGAGGATGTATGTGTCATAAAAAAAACTGTGGTTGACCGTGTTACAAATAGAGTTATAGATATAAATAACACGGGAGAGTAGTCTAATTTAAAGTTTATATTTAAAAGTAAACTTTGATGTGCTAGTCAGTTTCAGGTAGACTCTATTGCCTCATGATTTGAATTAAAAACCATAGAGGCTGAAATTATACTCAATAAGAAAGATATTGAGGTGAGTGATTTGACATATATTGGATATGAGAGTTTTTTGTGGAAATTAGTTATGCAAGTTTGAATTGGTAATGTAAGGACAACTAGTGTTAAAATAAAAGATGAAATAAGTAAATTGATTACTTTTATTTGGACTTGCACCAATTTTTTGACTCCTAAGACCAATGGAATACTTCTATAAAAATTAAGAAAGCCATAGTTTTAGTATGGTATATAGAATGAATTAGCAGTTCCAAATTACTTTCTCTTTTGGATAAATAAGAGGTTTTATTTTCTAATATTAGACTCACAATCTAAGTTTTTATTAAACTATAATTACAGTATAGACGTCCTAAAATGATTTTAGGGTTTAGGCTGAGAAGAATCAGGGATAAAATATTAAGGGTTATTAGGGAGTTTATAAATTTCATAGAGCCAATGAATAAGATTAGGGAAATTAATATTGATGATCAGATTGTCCTTTGATATTATGTATTGATATTATTTGCTTTAGAATTAGTTTAATTGTTCATTATTTAATTATAATTAAATGGTTATTAATTAGATGATTAGGTGATGGAAATAAGAGGTGAGAAAATAAGATAATAAGTACAATAGGTTTTCCTATTGTAGGGATAATGAAAGAGGCAAATAGATTTTCATTTATTTTCTTTCTCAAAGTGATTTTTGTTTTGTAATTTCTAGGTGGATTGTTTTTGGGTCTGAACAGAGTAGCTGTGTTGAGGTTTTCAGTTGGAGAAATATAGATAATGAAATGATCATTGATAAAATAATAGTCATGTTGATGTGTCTAGCTATGGCATTTCATTACAGCGAAAATATTTATCAAATCTTTAACTTAAAAGGTTAATGCTCATATAGCTTCACAATGCTTATAATATTGAATAAGACAAGTTTTTGAATTTTTTAATGGAATTATTTCAAGAACAAAGGGTACAAAGCTATGGTTTGAGCCATAAATTTCTGAGCATAATATAATCCTGGGTGTGATGATATTAGAGTTGTTTAGTTAAGATAGCCTCGAATAGCATCTGCCTTAAAGAGAGGAGATTGCCATAGCACATGGTGTAGAACAGAGTACAAGTTTATCAACAATGGTTATCAACGTTGTCCCTTGTTTCCTTAAAAAGAATTGTCTATCTTATTAGATATTATAAAGTTGGACAAAACAGTAGAGAACAAGACCAATAAAACTTAGGCATTGTAAACATTACAGGACTTCCAAAGAAGACAATAGTCAAACCAGAATGAGTATCTTAGTGAATCTTATTGTCTTCAAAGTAGTTGCCTATGTCTTCAAACTTGATACTATCATATAGAATGGAACAGAGTCTAATCAGTCAAAACAAGATCGTGGGAGTACTACAGGACTTCAAAACAAGTTAATAGGAAATCGAAAAGACTTACTATTTATATATCCTAATTTTTTTGAATTTTTTCTTTAATTAAGACAAACATAAGAAATGACTAAATAATTTTTTTTGAAACAATAAGGGGGAGATTGAGATAAAACAGGACATAACAATATAACAATAGAGGTCACAGCATGACTGTTTCAACAACCTAGTACTTCACCACCTTATAACCTGACTTAATAGTAGTTACCATAGTGTCATTTTCCTTGAAATATTTGGATAAAACTTCATATACTCTAGCTTCAAATATTTTCATATCAAGAAGCCCAGAATAAAGCCTTTCTAATTAATGAGTGAAAACTTTATAAGGCTTCAAGGCCACCTAATGGGGAATCATGATTACCACATATTTTTATATATTTGAATCATTATTTACATTAGGGAAACTATTCGGTATTCACACATGCGAGATTGATTTATTTCACTAATGAGTATGGTCTCAAGCTGCGCCCATTTATTGATAAATATCTCAATGTGATCCTTCTTTATAGCTGAATAATACTCCATTGTATAGAAATACCACAACTTTTTTATCCATTCCTCAGTTGATGGGCACTTGGGTTGTTTCCAAGATCTGGCGATTACAAATTGTGCTGCTATAAACATAGGTGCACATATATCACTGTGGTATGATGCTTTCAGTTCTTCTGGGAATATGCCTAGAAGTGGAATAGCTGGAATAAATGGGATTTCCAGTCCCAACTTTTTGAGAAATCTCCAGACAGATCTCCACAAAGGCTGTACCAGTCTACACTCCCACCAGCAGTGCAGGAGAGTTCCTTTTTCCCCACAGCCTCTCCAGCATTTGTTGTTGGTTTTCTTGATCCTGGCCATTCTTTCAGGAGTGAGATGGTATCTCAGTGTGGTTTTAATTTGCATTTCTCTAATGACCAATGATGATGAGCATTTTTTCATGTATTTATTTGCCATTTGCATTTCTTCATCTGAGAATTGCATATTCATCTCAGATGCCCATTTTTGGATTGGATCTTTGAATTTCGGAGGTCTGAGTTTCTTTAATTCTTTATATGTTTTAGACAAGAGGCCCTTGTCTGAGAGAGAGTTCACTAAAATCTTTTCCCAGTTTGTGGGTTTTCTTTTCACTATGCTGGAGATTTCTTTTGACATGCAGAAACTTTTTAATAAGAAGTGGTCCCAGTTATTGATTCTGGGAAGTATTTCCCGTGCGGTTTGAGTCCTGTTCATGAATTCTTTACCTACTCCTATGTCTCCAAGGTTTCTACCTATTTTGTCTTCCAATAGATTTAGTGTTTCTGTTTTAATATTCAGATCTTTGACCCATTTAGATTTTAATTTAGTACATGGTGATAGACATGGGTCTAGCTTTAGTTTTCGGCAAATGGAGAGCCAGTTTTTCCAGCACCATTTATTAAAGAGACTGTTGTTCTTCCAGTGAACCTGCTTGGCTCCTTTATCAAAAATAAGGTGGTTGAGTGTGTTCGTAGTTGTGGTTGTATCTTCTAATCTATTCCACTGATCTTCAGCTCTGTTCTGATTCCAATACCATGTTGATTTTACTACTGTTGCTTTGTAGTATAACTTCAAGTCAGGGATTGTGATGCCTCCTGCTTTGTCTTTGCTGCTTCGAATTGCCTTTGCGATTCTAGGTCTCTTCTGGTTCCAGATGAAATTTAGGAGTGATTTCTCTAGATCTATAAGGTATGTTGATGGTATTTCTATTGGGATTGCATTGAATCTGTATAACAGTTTTGGGAGAATGGCCATTTTCACAATGTTTGTTCTTCCTATCCATGAGCAAGGGATGTCTTTCCATTTTCTGAGATCATCTTCAATTTCTTTTTTCAGTGTATTATAATTTTCACTGTATAAGTCTTTCACTTCTTTCGTAAGAGTAATTCCTAAATATTTCATTTTTTTGCTTGCTAATGTGAATAGTCCAGTTTCTCTTATCTCCATCTCTGTAATTTTGTTGTTTGTGTATAGGAATGCTATTGATTTCTGAGTATTGATTTTGTATCCAGCCACATTACTGAATTTATTTATTGTATCTAAGAGTATTTCAATGGAGTTTAGGGGGTCTTCTATGTAGAGTATCATGTCATCTGCAAACAATGATAATTTAACTTATTCTTTTCCTATCTTTACCCCTTTTATTTCTCTTTCTTGCCTAATTGCTCTGGCTAGTACTTCCAGTACTATATTAAATAGGAGTGGTGATAAAGGACATCCTTGTCTTGTGCCCGATTTTAAAGTAAAGGCTTTCAATTTTTGGCCATTTAGTATGATGCTGGCTGTTGGTTTGTCATAAATGGCCTTTATTATATTGAGGTAAAGACCATTTATTCCAATTTTCTGTAAAGTTCTTATCATGAATAAGTGTTGGACCTTATCGAAGGCTTTTTCTGCATCTATAGAGATGATCATGTGATTCTTATTTTTGGCTTGATTGATATGGTGGATTACATTTATTGATTTGCGTATGTTGAACCATCCTTGCATTCCTGGGATGAATCCCACTTGGTCATGGTGTATAATCTTCTTGATGATTTGCTGGATCCTATTTGCCAATATTTTATTGAGGATTTTTGCATCTGTGTTCATTAGGGAGATCGGTCTATAGTTCTCTTTTATAGTTGGGTCTTTCTCAGGTTTTGGTACTAGAGTAATATTTGCTTCCAGGAATGACTTAGGAAGGATTGCTTCCCTTTCAATTTCATTGAATAGTTTGAGGAGTGTCGGCATTAGGTCTTCTTTATATTTCTTGTAGAATTCTGCAGTGAATCCATCTGGGCCTGGGCTCTTCTTGGTGGGCAAGGACCCAATTACATTCTCAATTTCATTAGCAGAGATTGGGTTATTCAACAGTTTTATATCCTCTTGATCTAGCTTTGGTACTTCATATGCTTCTAAGAATCTGTCTATTTCTTCTGTGTTATCAAACTTTTGAGAGTAGAGGTTTTCGAAATCCTTGGTATTGACTGACAGCTTTGTTTTGCCATATTTGAATGTATTCTCCCCCCCCCCCAAAGAAAGTAATAAGCACTAAGGAGTAATAAAATCCAAGATGTGTAAATTTTGTTGTAAAAAAGAGAGGGGGAAAAAAAAAAGAAAAAGAGCTCTAACGGATATAACAGCAAGTGTGTTTGGGGGTGTTAAATAGCCTACTTTATCAATGTTTTTGGAACATTGAACACAGCTGTTTGCAGTCTCCCTGTTTGAATGTCCACCTTGTGTTCTTTGATACTGTGATTTGAGGAACTATTTTCAAGAAGATAGTGTTTAATCTACTAGCAGGTGATTTCTTACTGTTATGTTTTTTTGTTTTGTTTTGTTTTGTTTTTTGTAGTTCTGTATTGCGTGTACCCTTACGCCGCTTTGGTTTGTTTTGTGTTTTTCTCTTTTTCCTCTTAAATAAAAAAAAAAAAAGAGAGGAGATTGCTCATGAATGGAGAACATTTTGGATGACATTAGTATACGGATTGGTATTTCTGTTGGAAGAACAACTCAGCTGTCCACTTCAAGCAATTGAAGTTCTCCAGCTTTAAATCAGTTGTAGGGATTATGTAGGAGTCAAAATTCAGCTCTTCATGATCTATATACTAATGGCTTCTGTATCATTGATGGCCTTTTGTTTTAATTGTTAGTAATGAGTGATTAATCTTGTCTGTTATATATAAAATTCAAAGGGAAAGGAGAACAGTAAGAATAAGGATGATGGCTGGTTGAATGGTTCAGATTGTTTCGATTTCTTTAGCATCTATAGTTCTTATGTAGTGTCATGGTTATGTCAGGGGTCCCCAAGCCTCATGCAATTATGCATTTGTGATTGGTTCATTGTCTAGTGCTTGGATTGGTGGTGTGAGTGTTACACCCACCTAGGGGTGGAACTAGAATATGATGTAACGGCGAAAAGGTGTGTTTGTGTGTGTGTGTGTGTGTGTCTTTCTTTCTTGCGGGTTTCTGTATTGCTATTTGCAGCTGCCATGAACTGCAGCCCTGCCATGCCACCCTGCCTTGAGCCAACTGAATATGGACTGAAACCTCCAAGAATTGTAAGAAATAAACCTTTCCTTCCTTCATTTTGGGTGTCAGGTATTTTGTCCCAGCAATGAGTAAAAAGTAATTAAGATATGTGGTTAAGTTTTGTAGTAAGTATAAGGAAAATAAGATATAGTACTAAGGTGCTAATTAAGAATACAATTATTAGTGTGTGGTCATGAAAATGTAAGAGTTCTATAATTGGTGAGGCAGCAGCTTGCAAACCTAATTCAAAAGGGTAGGCCATGAAGATATATAGGATTCTAACCAATAATTTAACTTTGACAAAGTTATGTAATATTTTTATTATTATCTTTCTCATTAAGAAAGTCATAGAGTGAGCAACTACTTCTACAATAACAGTATATAATTTATCAATTAGTGATTTCTTACTTTTTAAAAAATTCTGTATTATTTTTACCCTTTTTTCTGTTTTGCTTTTTTCTCTAATAAAAAAGAAAGTCATAAAGGTTATGGGGGTGGCTTGAAACCAGATTTAGAGGGTTCAATTCCTTACTTTTTTGTTTTTAGGATTTGATGAATATGGGCAGTTCAAAGGTATGATATGGTGGAGGAAAGTTGAGAAGTCATTCTAAATTAACTGAAGTAAGTTCAATGTTTATAACCTCTCATTTTGAAGCAAGTGCCTTTCAGATTATGAAAATTATTACAGCTATTAAATAACAATAACAATAACAGCTATTAAAGAGACAAAGGAGCCAATGATGAGACGCTGTTTCACAGTATATATACATCTGGCTAATCAGAGTGTCAGCATGGTTTGTCAGAGAGTCCCAGGAAGTGTTGAGGAAAGAAAGTTAGATTAACTTCCATGAATATTACAAAGAAGTGAATTTTTGCTCATGTTGAACATAAAGGATCACCTGAAAAGAGTGGAAATCAATGAGCAAACTCTCTTATAATAGTGAATATAGCCCCTGTAGATAATATGTAGTGGAAATGTGCAGCTACATAATATGTGTTGTGTAAGATGATATCTAGTGAAGAATTAGCTAGTACAATGCCTGTTAGTTCACTTATAGTGAAGAAGGAAATAAACCCTAAGGAAGGATCATAACATTGCTGAGAATCATTTAACATTTCCTCCATGTAATGTTGCTAGTCAGATAATAACTTTCACTCCAACAGGGATTGCGATGATTATTGTGGCAGACATGAAGTAGGTTTATGTACCCATGTCTATACCTAAACATGTGATGGGCCCATACAATAAATCCCAAGAAACAAATAGACATTATACCTCATACTATACCCATATAACCAAAGGGCTGTTTTTTTACTAGAATAGTGTGTGACGATATGTGAAATTATGCCAAATCCCAGTAAAATAAGAATATAAACTTCTGCATGACCAAAGAACCAGAATAAGTGTTGATACAAGATTGGGTCTTCCTCTCTGGCAGAATCACAAAAGGTTGTTTTTAAATTTTGGTCTGTGAGTAATATTATAATACTTGCAGCTAGCACAGGTAAGGATAGGAGTAAGAGAACAGTTGAATTAGGACAGATCAAACAAACAGTGGTGTTTGATACTGTGTTATTGTGGAGGGTTTTATATTAATAATTATTGTAATACAGTTGATTGCCTCTAGAATTGAAGATACTCCTGCCAGGTGAAGTGAGAAGATGGTTAAATCCACAGAAGCACCTGCATGTGCTAGATTTCCACCTAGCGGAGGATAAAACTGTTCATCTAGTTTCTGCTCCTGCCTCAACTATTGATGATGAAAATAGAAGAAGAAATGATGGGGGAAGGAGTCAGAAACTCTCATTGTTTATCTGTGGAAAACCTATGTCCAGTGCACCAATTATTAGTGGGACTAGTCAGTTTCCAAAGCACTGATGATAGTTAAAATGGGTATAACTATAAGGAAGATTATAATGAATGCATGCTTACTTACAACTACATCGTAAATTTGCTCATCACCTTGTAATGCTCCTGGTTGTCCTAGTTCTGCTTGGATCAGTAAACTAATTGCAGTTCCTAATATTCCAGCTCGTGCACCAAATAAAAGATACAGTGTGCCGATATCTTTATGATTCGTGGAGAAAAGGTCAGTGATTAATTAAGGTAAGTAGGTAAAATAGCTGAGTAAGCATTAAACTGTAAATCTAAAAACAGTGGTTAAATCTCCTCTTTTTACCATAGCTCTGAGATGTTTTATCATTTTAAATTGCAAATTCAAAGGAGCAGCTTCAATCCTGCTGGGGCTTCTCCTGCCCTCTTTTTTTTTTTTTTTTTAGTGTGGGAGAAGTAAATTAAAGCCAGTTGATTAGAGTGTTTAGCTGTTAACTAAAGTTTTGTAGGACTGGGGCCCACCAATCTAGTAAGAATTTAGCTTAATTAAAGTATCCAATTTGCATTCAGTTGATGAGAGATTGTAACTTGCAGTCCTTATTCAAGGGATAAATACTACTTAATATTTGCTTAGAGCTTTGAAGGCTCTTGGCCTGCTTAACCTAATCTCCTAGTATACAGTGATTATTATTCATGAAAGGGGCAGGAGAAGTATAGAAAAGATGATCATGGGAGGCATAATCTCTTTATGTTCTGAAAGTATCATTTGGTTTTTATGTTACTTTTGTATAGAAATAGAGTCAAGGATGTTGAATAGATTAGTATATAGAAGTAGAGGTTAAGTAAGGCTATAATGGTTATTAGAGCAGGTTATTTTTTACTATTTCTTGGATAATTACTCATTTAGGGATAAATCTGATTAGATAAGCTAGATCTTCAAGGGATAGTAAAGTGATTATTATAATGGTAATTATTAATGGTAAAATATTTCAAGTGTGGCTTAAGGATAATGTAGTTGTGTTATTATTTATAAAGAATATAGAAAATATGAAGATTGTTAGTATGGAGTAAATAATAAAGTTTAATAATGTAATTGAGGGGTTATAAATGAAAATTGCTGTTATTCATCCCACGTGAGTAATTAATGAATATGCTAGAACTTTTTCATAATTGTGCTTGGTTAAGTCCTCTTTATCCTCCTATAAAATGAACATAATAGCTGAGGTAAAAATTAAAGGTTGATTAATGATGAGAGAAATTTGGAAAAGAATAGATAGTGGAGTGATTTTTTGTCATGTTAGTAAAATTGTTGCAGGCAGCTGAGTTAGTTAGAAATATGATAGGCAGTCAGATAGGGCTGAGCCCTCAAAGAAGCCAGAGCACAAGTTCAGATACTGGCAGCCTTGAAAGAGACAAATGCTTCCTGCTGTGAGCCAGATCTTAAGACAAAAGGCAAAGCAAATACAACCACATCCTACTGATTGACAGTCCAAATAGTTCTGTATCACCCTGAGGAAGTCAGGAGTCAGCATCCCTCCCCACTACAGGAAGAGTCACTGCTGTTAAACATGCCTGCTTACTATATGACTCACTCCCTCATTTGTTCCTGATTTAATCGATTTTACCTGAGCAGTTAATCTTATTGGTTGACCATAGTTCTGTTCCACCTTATTCCCACCTTGTGAGTTCCCATTTTTCCCACCTTGGGCCCATCTAACCTTGTCTTAGTTACTTTTTACTCATTGCTGAGACAAAATACCTGAAGCCCATAGATGGGAAAGGAAAGGTTTATTTCTTACAGTTTTTGGAGGTTTCAGTCCATACTCAGTTGGCTCCAAGGCAGGCTGGCAAGCCTGGGCTGCAGTTATGGCAGCTGCAAACAGCAAGGCGGAAACTTGCAAGAGAGCATGACATGCCTTCTTCCTGACATTACATCACATCCTGGCCCCACCCCTAGGCCAGTGTAGCACTCACTCCCCCAATTCAGGAGCTAAGACAATGAACCAATCACAAATGCATAATGCAAAGGCATGAGGCCTGGGGGCCACCGACATAAACCATGACAAACCTCATGATTTTACTCTATAAAAATCCCTAGAAAGAAGAGTCCCTGGTATCCACTCGAGACCCCTTCTGTATCTCTCAGACAAAAACTTTCTCTCCTAACCTCCTAAATTCTGCTCCTAACCTCCATTGATCCTAAAATTCATTCTTCAATTTTAGAGAACAGGAGCTTATACTGGATATATAGTAGGTCGGGAATTTCATTCCCCTATAGCAAAATCACTCCTAATGGTAGCATGATTCCCTGAGTTGCTTCTGGCACTCAGAAGGGGAAAGTGTGAGGCCTGATTTTATTATGAATGATAGGGTTAAAATGGAGAAAATGGTTTGATTTTGAGAGTAAAAGATGGTTAATTGACCTAAATATATTATGGTTATTAGGGTTAAAATGGAGAAAATGGTTTGATTTTGAGAGTAAAAGATGGTTAATTGACCTAAATATATTATGGTTAGGACAGTGGTAAATAGCAGGATCATTGATGCTGATGCTGGGGTTAGGAAATATTTGGTTGTGGCTTCTGTGGATTGTAGGTTGGTTTTGATTATTATAATTGGGATTATGGCTAGTATACTTACTTGTAAGCCAATTCATATAGTCAGTGGGAGCTTAATAGGGTGACTAATGTTCCTAAAATTAGAGTAATATAGATTACAATGATTGTAATAAAGTTAATAGTAAGGGAAGGATGTAAACCAACATTTTCAGGTCACTGGCCCGATAGCTTATTTAGTTGGCCTCACTATTAGAATGTGGTGTATAGGTAGCACAAAGAATTTTGAGTTCTTTGGAACAGGTTCAAGTTCAATGATTCTAGAAATAAGAGGGTTTAAGCTTCTATGATTTACTCTATCAAAAGTAACTCTTGTCAGACATATTTTTGATTGTTTGAGGGAGCAAGCCAGATAATAAAATGGGTAAGGAAATATGTCATATGTATAGGGCCAAGGTGAGGGGAAGAAAGTATTTTCAAAGGAGATACATATGAAAATCGGGGGTATGAGGCTTGATTCACAAGCATAAAATTGTTTGAGTGTCTTTAGTATACAATTTATTGTATAAGTTTCAGGTGATGTAATGGTTGGCATGGTGTTAAAAAAGATAATGGTCGTGAGGGCGTTCATTATAATAATACGTATTTGGCTATAAAAAATACAGCAAACGGCTGGGCTTCGGATTCCTGGCTGTGCGCGGCGTCCACCCGGCAGGAGGCGCCCCGCTCCCGCAGGCCCGCCCTCTCCGTCTCGGCCGCTGTCCCCCCACTACCTGAGGTCTCGCTTCTGACAGACGGCGCCCCAGCGCCCGGATTTAACCAGGAAGCCTGGGTCTGGGGTCGGTGCGGAGGAGGAGCAGCTCCCGGTCAGTTCGGCTCCCCGTGTGGCCCAGCGCGGGCTGGCGCAGCGGAGCAACCCGCCTCCAGCGACGCCGACCGACCGGGCCACTGCGACCAGCAGGACCGACGGCGGCGCCAAGGCCACTCCAAGGAAGCAGCTGACCCTGACGGAGGAGGTGCTCCTGGCGGGCCTCCAGGAGGGGCGGCCGGCATCTCTTTGGAATGACTGTATGTCCTCTGGAGTACGCGGCTGTGTGTCAACTGAATTAGCCTTAAGAGGAAGGTTACCGCTCAGGCCTGAGAGAGGAGATGCAGAAGTCTTTTGACGAGGAATGTGATCTGCAAGGATGCTCCACCCGGGGATGTTCTTGATGAAGCTCTGAAGCATGTTAAGGAGACACAGCTTCCAGCAGCAGTCCAGAATCGGACTGAATTACTTAGTGGTGCGAGAGGGAATCCGTTGAAATTGCATTATCAGTTTAGAAACACGCGGGAACGATGAGCTAAACACCTGGGGAGCAGAGCTTCTTACTTTTTTTTTTTTTTTTTTTTTTTTTTTTTGTCTTTTTCCTTTTTATGGGTACCGGGGATCGAACTCAGGACTGCCTGCTTGCAAGGCAGGCGCTTATGCCGCTGAGCTAAATCTCCAAGGCCAGAGCTTCTTACTTTTTGACATGAGGACACATTCTCCCACCAACAGCCACATTCAACAGCGCCTCGTGGGGAAGGTACAAGAAGCTGTTCTTGACAACTGGGAGCGGGACCCGCGCTGCTGAGCAGGCGGGCTCAGGTTTATCTGGCCCAGACCCCAGACGTCTTGGGGATGTGTTTCTTACCTTCTGGCGGAGCAGCACGATTCACCGCCGAGACAGGCGGCAGCTCGGGGATCTGGACCCGGAGGCGGCGAGGGTGAAGGCCGCCGCCAGCCTGTCCCGCGGCCGGGCCGCGGTGCTGGCTTCACCAACCGACTCTCACATGAAGCCGTTTCTTTCTCTCTTCTAAGCCAGTGGGTTTTGTTTTACTGACTTACAGGTTTCTGCTGTTCGTACTTCCCACACTGTAACTGGCTTTTGGTTTATGAAACGGCGGTGGTTTTTGGTTTTTTGCACGGATGCAGGATGCTGCTGCCGCGAGAGGCCTTGCTCTTCCCGTTCCTCTTGTGTGACCGCCACGGTGGCCTGCCGTCCCGGCCATTCTCACTCCTACTTTGGGGTTTCTGGTGTAATCTGACTTTCCGAGTTCCTCTGGTTACCCCGACGCACAGCTTTTGGGTTACCCCAGTTTGAGTTTTCCCTCACGAGCCCGTACATTTGCCTTCTGCCTACAATTCCAACAGAAGCCACAAGGCCTTCAGCTCGCCAAACGAAGGTAAATGTATCTATTTGGGCATTTTATATATAGACCTCAGTGGAAATGGTTACTTAGCAAAATTATTTTTAAATTGAAACAGCAGGGGCTCGGGAATTAGCTCAGCGGCATAAGCGCCTGCTTTGTAAGCAGGCAGTCGTGAGTTCGGTCCCCGGTACTGATAAAAAAGAAAAAGACAAAAAAAAAAAAAAAAAAAAAAAAAAAATTGAAACAGCATAGTAAATACTTAATATAAAATGCCCCCAGGGATTTTGCTTCCTATTTTTTTTTTTTTTTGGTACCTTGTGTTGTAATTTTAACTATTCAATCAGAGATGTCCGTTGTTTAACAAAGCCAGTTTGGGGCTGGCTGCATTCCAGTTATGCTGTTTGTATTTTGAATCTGGCTCTCCCTGTCCCCATCTTAGTATTTTGCAAGAGTTAGTTATACACCTGGTGCCCCTTACACTTGCTCCATTCAGTACTGATGGCAGAATAGACCTCTCATAAGAGAAGACGAGTATCTCATTGTTTGCAGGGTTTTTTGATCTGTGCCGTTCACGGTACTCTTTGCTTATGCATCTCTTATCATTTTTTTTACCAGTTTTTATTATTTTTGTTGGAAAGAGACTTGACTATAGTTTTTTTCCCTAATCTTTAGTATAGTTTTTTTCTTCTGTCCACAAGTAAATTAGTGCCTGCTCTGAAATGTCATTTTTATACTTTCTTGAAAAAAAATCAAATGTCCTAGCTCATATTGCATGTAGATTGGTAGCAAGAAATGAATACAACTCAGATGATTAAGAATTTTGTAACAGAAAGCTCTTCTATGTTTTAATTTTTTATGTACAATTATGGTAATTAGCACATTGTAAGATTATAAGTGTTTGCTTTTTAAAGTTTATTTTTACTATTTCTTTATCACTGTTTATCATACCACCATTGTTTCATAATGTAAATACCATACATTGAACAAATTAAATGTCAAATTTTTTATTACCATAGTTCATGTTAATAGTGGGGCTTTCAGGCATTTAGAAATTTTTTTAAATTAACATTCAATACAAAAGTACTAGGTGGTATATAACTCTAGAGTTGAATTTTAAAGGATTCCCTAATATGTATACTATCTTTTTAGCTGAAGTAATAAATAAACTATGATCTTGAAAGTGTCTGAATCAGAAAAAAATAGGGCAGAAGGACTGGTGGCATATTCAACATTCATTCTGACTCACTTGCAGTTAAGTTAAATGGGGCTCAGTTAGTTTCTGCTAAAGCTGAGATGAATCGTATTATAGTGAGGCGTCATGTGGGCAGGAGTAATTAGGTATCTTTTTGGGTTTCCATTAAATTTATTAATTAGGATGATTCATTTAGAAGTAGAATTGAGAGAAAAATGATAGCTAGGGAGACCTCATAGGAGATAGTTTGGGTTACTGCTCAAAGTGCTCCAATTAGTGCATTTTGGAGTTGGATACTTATCGCGATCGTAAGATGGCATGGACAGCAAGGCTTGATGTTGCTAAGATAAATAGAACTCCTAAGTTTATGTTAAGTAGAGAATATGGTATTGGGCTTGGAATTCATATGGATAAAGCAAGAGTAAGGGCTAGGATGGGGGCCGTGATAAAGAGGAAATGGAGGAGGCTGATGGATGAAGTGGTTCTTTAATTGTTTTAGTGTGTCTGGGATTGATTGAAGGATTCCATAAGATCCAATAATGTTTGGTCTTTTGCACATTTGTATGTAGCCAAGAATTTTTCGTTCTGTTAAGAAATGTTATGGCTAGGAGAACAGTGAAAATTAATAGAAAAAAATTGATTGTGAACATAAATGTTAAGGAGAGGAGTTGAACCTCTCAATATAAAGTTTTAAGTTTTTATGCAATTTACTGGGCTCTTTCACCTTAAATCCTTGTCATGGGTTGTAAATGGAATAACTATAAGATTAATATGATATCATCTTTTAGTTATTAAGGCATAATTGGTTAATTGGCCTTATTTCTCTTGTCCTTTCGTACTGGGAGAAATTTTTAATAGATAGAAACTTACCTGGAGTATTCCAGTCCGAACTCAGATCATGTAGGACTTTAATTGTTGAACAATGAATCCTTAATAGTGGCTGCACCATTAGGATGTCCTAATCCAATATCAAGGTCGTAAACCCTATTGTCCATATGAACTCTAAAATAGAAGTGCACTGCTATCCCTAAAGTAACTTGGTTCATTGATCAAAAGGTTTTTGGGTCAATTGATGACAGTAAACTTTGACTTGTGTCTAGGTTAATATCATTCGTAGGGTTTGTTATTGTTCTCTGAGGTCTCTCCAACCAAAATTAATAATTCAGAACTTACGCTTTATATTCTTGTGAATTTAAGGTAGTAAAGAATGAATTAATGAATTAAAGCTCCATAGGTCTTCTCATTTTATTACTTTATCCCCCTCTTCACAGCGAGGTCAATTTCACTGACTGAAAGCAAGAGACAGTTAAATCCTCATTGGCCATGCATATAAGTCCTTATTTAAAGAACAAGTGATTATGCTAACTTAGCAAGGTCAGGATACTGAGGCCATCAAACTGACTTGTCACTGGGCAGGCGGTGCCTCTAATACTTGAAATGCTAGAGGTGATGTTTTTGGTAAGCAGGGGGGATTTATGTTTGCCAAGTTCCTTTTATTTTTTTTTTTTAGACAATCCTGAATAGCATCCCTGTGTTAAGTTAACAATATTTTTAATAAGATAATTAATGGAATATTTTTGTCTTATTAAGTTGAGGGTGAAATAATTCTTGTTACTAATATTTACATTATTTCTTCTATATTAATATTGATTAACACAGTTGTTAAACAGGGGTTAATTATGGGTCTATTGAAATTGAGGTGATACATTGAGATATTTATCAATAAATGGGTGCAGCTTGAGACCATACTCATAAGTGAAATAAATCAATCTCGCATGTGTGAATACCGAATAGTTTCCCTAATGTAAGTAATGATTCAAATATATAAAAATATGTGGTAATCATGATTCCCCATAGGTGGCCTTGAAGCCTTATAAAGTTTTCACTCATTAATTAGAAAGGCTTTATTCTGGGCTTCTTGATATGGAAATATTTGAAGCTATAGTATATGAAGTTTTATCCAAATTAGGAAAAAGACAGACACTATGGTAACTACTATTAAGTCGGGTTATATGGTGGTGAAGTACTAGGTTGCTGAAACAGTCATGCTTTGACCTCTATTGTTATATTGTTATGTCCTGTTTTATCTCAATCTCCCCCTTATTCTTTTAAAAAAAAATTTAGTCATTTCTTATGTTTTTCTTAATTAAAGAAAAAATTTAAAAAATTAGGATATATAAATAGTAACTCTTTTTTGATTTTCTATTAACTTGTTTTGAAGTCCCATAATACTCCCACGATCTTGTTTTGACTGATTAGACTCTGTTCCATTTTGTATGATAGTATCAAATTTGAGGATCTAGGCAACTACTTTGAAGGCAATAAGATTCACTAAGATGCCCATTCTGGTTTGACTATTGTCTTCTTTGGAAGTCCTGTAATGTTTACAATGCCTAAGTTTTATTGGTCTTGTTCTCTACTGTTTTGTCCAACTTTATAATATCTAATGAGATAGACAATTCTTTTTAAGGAAACAAGAGACAACGTTGATAACCATTGTTGATAACCTTGTACTCTGTTCTACATCATGTGCTATGTCTATCCTTGGTTTTGACTGACAGCTCTGTTTTGCCATATTTGACTGTATTCTCTCCCCCCCAAAAAAGTAATAAGCACTAAGGAGTAATAAAATCCAAAATGTGTAAATTTTGTTGTAAAAAAGAGAGGGAAAAAAAAAGAGCTCTAACGGATATAACAGCAAGTGTGTTTAGGGGTGTTAAATAGCTGACTATATCAATGTTTTTGGATCATTGAACACAGCTGTTTGCAGTCTCCCTGTTTGAATGTCCACCTTGTATTCTTTGATACTGTGATTTGAGCAACTATTTTCAAGATGATAATATGTAATCTATTAACAGGTGATTCCTTACTGTTATGCTTTTTTTTTTTTTGTAGTTCTGTATTACGTGTACCCTTACACCGCTTTGTTTTGTTTTGTGTTTTTCTCTTTTTCCTCTTAAATTAAAAAAAAAAAAAAAAAAAGAAATTGAGGTGATAGCTTTTGGTTGAGCCTTAATGCTTTCTTAATTGATGGCTGCTCTTAGGCCAACCAGCGTGGTTTGTTTATTTACCAACTGTTAAAAGTTGTTTTCTTGTTTTGAAGAGCTGTCTATCTTTAAATTAGGTTTTAAGTTTTCATTTAAGCTATTTTAGGGAAACTTAAAGCTGAACTAAAATTCTTATTTGGGTAGCCAGCAATCAACAAGCTCTATTGTAAATCTTCTCACTGTTTTGCCACGCAAGTGAGTTTGCTCTGTTAGCTGTCTGGAAGTAGCTCATAGTTTTGGGGCAATCGGCTGCAGTTTTCTTTGTCAAGCATATTCTAGTTAATCCACCATACAAAAGGTATTAGGGGTAATCTCTCCTTTTTTTTAAAAAACTTTTTATTAATTTTCTTTCATCTTTCTCTTATGGTACTATCTCTATAGCGCCAGAAAAAAAGTTCTATCTCCCATACTTTCTTATGTAAATGTTTCATCTTGTGAATTGAAAATAGTTGTGTTTGGTTGGTTTGGGGCTAGAACAGGTAAGTTCAAAGGGATCAGTAATGAGTGAAATCTTCCTGGTGTAAGCCAGATGCTTTAATTTAAGCTGCACTTTGTTTTCTAAGCACTTTCCAGTATGCTTACCTTGTTATGACTTATCTCCTCTCATATTGTATTGATTTTAAGGTTTAAAAATTAAAATATTTGAAGAGGGTGACATGCGGTGTGTATGTGCTTCACAGCCTGGTTCAGTTAAGCTCTCTATTCTTGATTTACTGCTAATTCCTCCTTAGCTCTTTAATTTTCATAAAGATTTACATTAAAATGTTTTTTTTGATAAGAAACTGTATCCCATT